TTAATTCCTTCAAATGTTATTGTTTTCAGTGGCAAAGGTTATACTCATACTGTACGGCAGCATTTATGTTTATCAACAAGCTGCATATTTTCTTTCAAAAGGTCTCCTTTTTGTGGACTAAAAACTACAAGAAACAATCCATTAAAACAAGACAACAAAAGGACACACTTTGAAACAATAATTAGAGTTCAGCTCTACATAGAGCTGCAGGTAGGGACAGGGTGATGGAATACAAGCTACTGAAAAGGCACGAGTCTGAATTATCTTTTTGTCTCGTTAGGCAGTAAAAGCAAAAAAAAAAAGAAAAGCTGATTGAAGATTGAAGAGATTGAAGAGTTCTGTGAAAGCACTAATTAAAGGACAAACTCCTCTCTGTGCCTCCATTTTCTTTGCTTTTGAAACTTCACTTAATTTCAAAGGGTATAGTATAATGGCCAAGGGCAACAACGTACTCAGACATCAAATTTATTGAGATGTTTGACAATATGGGACGAACAAGCACAAAACCACTTTTATCACAGTTAAGCTCTGCACTGAAGCTTTCAGACTCGTCACCTTCTTGAATAGAGACTTGATGCAATATTAGTATGCAGGTTTGGCAGACAAAGAAGCTGTGCCTACCATGGGCTATTAGCAGTGTGTGTCTAGTGAACTTCTGTAATACACACACTAAAGGAAAGCGTTAATATGTATTAACTTCTAACTCACTTTGTCCTTTACACCTTTTATATTATGCAGGCTTGTTCCCCGAAAGGCCAAATCCTTATAATTGTGATCACAAGTATGTCTGAGCTGTATGAATGTAATGCTAATATTTCAAACACCAGACAGTTTTAAGAAAGCTGCAAAAAAAAAAAAAAAAAAGTGCAGACTAAAACTATTACCGGTAGAACTGTCATTTCAAACCCGGGCCTGAATCTCGGTCCAGCCCGACTTTGGGCTGGGCAATAATAATGTGCTGGATGGGTGGGCCAGGTCAGAGTCAGGCTTTTGATTGTGTCAGCGGATCAGCTGCAATCCAATTATATGGCAATATGGCTTGCCGTACAATCACCAGCCACATGCGGCCATTTCACCACGAGATGACCAGCCTTGAAAGAGGTAAAATAAAGTTCAGTTAAGCTTCAGATGGGCTACTGGTACAGGCAAGAAGCGATCCTTCGCCCAAATGGACATTCATTCAGTCGCTGCACTCAGCGGAGGCGTGCAGCCGACTACCCACACAGTTGAGATCCCAAAGCAGACATGTCAGAGCAGGGTCCGTGTCTGAATAATGCAGACTGCAGGCAGAAGCAGGGATTTAATGTGCTTTGACAGCCATGAAAGGACAAACACCCCCTCAGCTCCGATCTTCTGCCACTTTACTCAGCTGCATGTGTCCGCTGACCGTTTATAACTCTATAAGCAGTTAAAGCTTAATAAAAAAATGTATTTTTTTGGGGGGTGGGGGGGGTGGGGTTGGGTTGGACCTGTAATTACTGTTAATTCATTGGGTTGGGTGGGATTCAGAAACGATGGCTGCGGGCTGGAGCTGGGTCGGCTCAGATTTTTTGGGGCCCGAATGCAACTCTAATTACCGGTAATATTATTATAAATCATAACATTTTATGTTGAACTTTATTATGCAGTTTTCAACTGATTTTCCTTCTGAGATGTAGTTTGATATTAATGCAAATTATGAAGGGATGGCAGCAGTCCAGAGGTGACGCCTAATTTGTCCTAGCTGTGATTGTGAATGGTTTTCTCCGTGTGTCCCTGTGATGGATGGAGACCTGTCCAGAGTGTTCCCCGCCTCTCACATGACTGCTGCAGATAAGCATCAGCTCTTTGTTATGTGGAAAGGAAAGAAAAATTAATTCATGGATATTATCATACCAAATACAACATGAGGTTTTTGCCTCACAGCAAGAACTTTCCTATTGTTTGAATCGTGGCCGGGGTCTGCTGTCGTGGAGCTTTTATGTTCTTGTCATGTATTTTCTACCATACCATACCATTTTATTTATAGAGCACCTAAAACAGTGACAAGGCCAACCAAAGTGCTGTACAGACAGAAAAACAGGCAGCACACAAAGCAATATACAAAATGAGGTAAATCAGAATAAAGACATAAAAACCGATGCAGATAATAAATATGACGACTAACCGGTGTGGAGCATAGAGGTTCAAAACACAGATCATCTGGTGTTGAAAGCCACTGAATAGTAGTGGGTTTTTAAACGGGACTTGAAAACCGAGAGGGAGGGGGCCTGTCTGACAAGCAGAGGTAACTCTTTCCAAAGTCTTGGTCCTGCTACAGAGAAGGCCTTGTCACATCTGTGCTTAAGACAAGTTCCTGGAACTGTGAGGAGCAACTGGTCCGCTGACCTCAGGGAATGTGGTGGGACATACGGCTGTAGCAGATCAGAGAAATGGGGGTGAGACACTGTTCAGTGATTTGTAGACATACAGGAGTATTTTGAACTGGATTCGAAGGTGAACCGGTAGCCAGTGCAGTGAGGCCAAAACTTTCTACAGCTTCTTTCGTTTCCGTCCACAGTCCAAAAACATACATGTTTATTTAATTGGCAAATCTAAAATATATGTAAATGTGTGTGCTTGCATGGTTATCCGTCTTCTGTCTCTCTGTTGACCATGTAGTAAAATGGTAACCATTCTAGGGGACTCCCACCCATTCACATACAGATGTCTGGACATGGGCATCAACTCCTTGCAACTTGGGGCAGCTGTAGCTGAGTGGTTAGAGCAGTCATCCTCCAATGGGAGTGTTGAGAGTTTGAGTCCACCAGAAACATGCTGAAGCATAGGCGTCGCAACCATCATATGTGAAGGGGACATGTCCCCCCCACATAAAAAAACAAACATTCATTTGGAACCCTCCACTTTTACTATGAAACATTAGTTCTGTCTGCGCTGTTTCTCTCTCTTTGTGAACAAATCCATTCTACTTGATTAATAGGAGAATACTCAAACCACTAAAAATCCACTCCATGTTTTCCTGATTACCTCCAACTCTCTGTGCATCTCCTCCTCCATCAGCAGAAAACGCACAGGTGGAGGAGATGGACTCACCTCTGTGTTGATCGCTCACCAGCTTAGCGAGTTTAGTGCACGCAGTTGTTGACCGGGGGGGGGGGGGGGGGGGG